TGGTTAAAAATTTGGCTGATAAAGTCCCCTCTTAAAAAAGGAAAAAAAAATGTAAAACTGTTCCAAATGCTTAAGATGCAGTTTTTACCTAGCCAATGGAAATTATAAAAAATTGATTTAAAAACATGAGACAGTAAATTATCTTGCACATTTGTAGGACCTTTTACGATTCAGTATGGGCTGTGGATCATATGGTTTGTGTACAACAAATTCTGTATTTCGTTTACCTCAAGAATGGGTTTTACAAACAACCAAAATCTTCAAACTTACACATTGCTGCCTGTGAAACTTTCCTTTAAAGTCACAGCCTGATTCTTTGAACTGCTTTGTGATAGGAAAAGAAAGTGTCATTTTTAGCTATGTGTCAAGAAATCGGTACCTAGACAGAGCCTCTTTGGTGAGGTGTTCCAGCAGTTCGTGTTCATCTCCAAGTTTACAACAGGAGAGATCCAAACACGTCAGCTCCCGGAAAGACTTAATTTCTTCTAGTTTTTCAGAGATAACCAGGTATCTGCAAGGAGAAAAACAAACAAACAAACAGTGTTCAGGCACCTAAGAAGGCACCTATATCCTCAAGTGTCAGAAGCATAATGTAGTTGTTTCTTATAAGTACCTGTGTGAAAAACTGACAGAAATTAGCCAGCTGTCCTTTTTATGTGCAGTCTGCACACAACACATTTGAGTTCCCAGTGTTCTCCTTGAACAAATGTCACGGTTTTGCTTTGATTCAGAATATGGGACTAACGGTTAAGACTTCAACTCGCAAACATTGCAGTTAGGCATTTCTTTACAGATTATTATTGTGTTATTTCAGAATAATGCAGAATACATATTCCAGTTTACTGTAAGTCAACTTCACAAACTGCTTTTCCTCAGTATCTAGGAATCGTGTAGGCAAATCCATGCTCATCCAGGTTTAAAATCTACTTCAAATGTATCAGGATAGCTTGTCAAATGGCAAAATTTTACTTTTTATATAGGTAAATAAAATACTTCACCAGAGATGAAAGTCCTACAGGACACCTGCAGGACTCCAACTGGAGCTGTCACTATACCCCAGGCAGTAGTTACTCAGTGGGTTATTTTTTTAGCTGTGTTGGTTCCCTGATCTGATTCACTCCGCAGCCATGCAAACATCTGTGCTGGAATTATTCAGTAGGAGGTTCAGAGATAGGAACAAACCACTGAATAATGGCATGCATGAATATGCAGTAATAAGCACGCAGCAGTCACTACCTCACCAATCTCCCCTGCATTTACTTCTTATTGTCCCTGTGGCAAGACAAGCCCCAAATTCATTAATCTCTCCCGAATTTACCTTATATTCCCCATGGCAAGACAAACCCTGAGGTCAGCATCTTCACTGCTGAAATGAGGGGTGCTTACGAATTTGATCCCTCAAGGAACACCTCTTTGGCCATCCAAATAAGGGGACCTCCCACTTATATCCTCCCGCTGCAAGTATACCTACCAAACTACCCCACCAAATCCCTTTGCTGTGCAATTATGTGTAAGGCAGTATGCATGGTCAGAGCGCAAGCCAACTCTTGAGGAATACTACTAGCTCTAGTGGGTTGTGAAGAGAAGAGTGGGCTCTTATTTTCAGAAGATTCACCGGAAAATTCCTTAATATCTTATTACTTGGATTTCGAAGACTCGATACTTAACTCAGCTTTCTGTAATGGCAAAAGATGCCAGAGGTAACTTCATTTCTGATTTAATCCCATAAAAAGTATCTCTACTGAAGATAAAAAGGGAGTAGGTTTAAAGGATAAAACAAAAGACAATTGACCTCTGCTCAAACATTCCTACTATGCTTAAAACACCCTGGGCATTTCAGATGAATATGCCTATACTTTGATTTTAAACTGGATAAACCATCCCTTTTTCAAGTGTACAGATGGAAGATAGACTGGTTATATTACTGGGAAAGACTTCAGTAGGAGCAAGGCTTTAAAAACATAATCCAGTTTCAAGCTCGGCAAGACTCCCTTTTAGTGAAAGACAACATGGACATTGAGAAGATGGAAAAACTGGTGCTGGACTCTCATCAGAACCTCGTTAGAGCACGTTCAATATGGGGATGGGAACGACAATAAATCAAGGTAAAACCTGCCTGACTTCAAAGCCTGGAACTTACCTACAAGACTGTATCTTCTTCTGAGCCCCCAAAATGAAACAGGATAGCAAGCTTACAGTAAATAAACCCAGACTGTTTGCAAGGGTGTATTTTATCCCTACAGTCAGCTAAGTATGTTGAAATACTTATGAACAGCAATTACGAAAACATCCCATGAAATACTTGAGAAGGCATTAAATGCACAAATTGCTATGGAAGTGCTGATTATTATTGTTCAAAAATAGTTGCAGGTTTAATCCTACACATAAAATCCCTGTTAGTTAACACGGATGTAGTCTGTTACCTCTATTATGATTTGTATCTTAGAATGAAACCAGCAGCTGCACTTGTAGTAAAGGAATCATAGAATCACATAATTTAGTTTGGAAAAGACCTTTAAGATCATCGAGTCCAACCGCTAGTATAGCACTGCCAAGGCCACCACTAAACCATGTCCCTAAGCACCACATCTACCCGTCTTTGAAGCACCTACTTCCCTGGGCAGCCTGTTCCAGTACTCAACAACCCTTTTGGTGAGGAAATTTTTCCTAATATCCAATCTAAACCTCCCCTGGTGCAACCTGAGGCTGTTTCCTCTCATCCTAATGCTTGTTACTTGGGACAAAATGGGAATGAGACAAAAGGAAGCAAGCAGCAGAGTAAGACAAGGCTCAGGTCATTTCATTAAAATTAGGTGGTGTCATAAGGCCCCAGATTTTTTTTTAATTATTTTTGAGAGAAAATAATTTAAAGGAAATTTTATGTGTGCTAGCAAAAAGGACTAGTAGATGACAATATTTGTTACTGAACACACTTACCTATTCCGCAAGCATAACGAACATAGCACCAAATTGCCATAGGCTTCAGTAAACTTCTGTAGAGCTCTCAGTCCCGTTACAGGTTCTGTGAACTTTTGTCTCGCTTCTGCGGCTGAAAAGAGCTTTTCAGCAATCTGCTCTGGGAAACCAATCAACGAGTCAATGTGATCAACGTTGTCAGAAATGTAACCCAGTACGAGGCTGAAGAGAGACTTGGCCGAGTACCGAAGGTTGCCCTCCTTAGTATATGTGAAGATGAAATGATCAGTCCTTTGCCTCCTTGCCCTATCATCCTCCCTGTTCATACAAAGCTCCACCGAAAATCCTCTGGAAAACAGCCTAAAAGGTCTTGTTTTAGGAGTGACATTCTGTATGCCACCTGCACCCTGATTTACCACGTGCAGCTTCCCATTTTCACGCACGTATATTGGCCCGGTATCCAAATGGCTTTCTGAGTGGAGACAGTAAGACATTCCCCTCATCCAGTTCTGCAAAAATAAACCGTAAACAGGTGAAGAATACCCACAGAGGAAAATATTCAGGAAAAGACCCCAAACCCTTGCAGCTCTTCCCAACGCCCCAAGCACAGTCACATAACCCTGCAGTGCATGGAAGGCCAAGCTGCGTGGAACAGGGGTGTGTGCTGTCTGCCATCAAGCCGCAAACGCCAGTCAAGTGGAAACCGAACTCAGGGCTGGCAGAGAGGTGAAGGGCCCTTGCTCTGGCAGGACCCTGCTGCTCTGTGCCTGGTGCCCGTCAGTGGCCTGGGGCTGGATCCCAGTCCTACACAAGCACGGGCAGTGGGAGGGGGGCTGGGGCCGTGCGGGCAGCAGGCCCCACTGCTTGGCCCGGCTCTGCTGCAGGCGGGGGGGAGGAGGAGGAGGGCAAATGGCCGACTGCAGCAGGGCAATGGAGCCTGCCGGAGCATCTCCCTCTCTTGGAGGGTGGGCAGGCTCCCGGCGCCCCTTTCTCAGCCGAGCCCAGCCGATGCCGGAGGG